TTTGAAACATCTGTTAATTTTGTGTTGGTATAAGTTGAAAATGATCACTTAAGATCGAACATTTTCTCACTATTAAAAAAGTATTAATATCAATAAAATATCTACATTTCTTTAATTTTCTCGATAAACTCATTAAGAATATTGATAATATGTTCTTCGAAAAAATTTGAAAGATATTGTTCATTTTTAAATAACCAGAATATTCCAATGAAGAAATAGATTAATTAAGTTGTACATAACTGAGTGGAATAAATAGAAATGAATAATCCCCAACGACGTATCACAAAATATCTTGAGTTCGTACCGTTCTAGGACCTATGAATGTCCCTATAGAGTAGGCTTTGAGGATGATGAGTAAAATATAGGTGCATAAGTGAGCTGCAAATTTTGAGTATACATGGAAAGCTCATTTTATATAGCCGGACAAAGTGCCACCTTTATTCTTATCAATAACTAAAGTGTACCAGAATCAGACGATTGTAATTTAGTAACGCTGAGAAAACTGCTGATGATTTAATAAGTGATAAATCAGTTAAATAATTAGAATATCAAAGAATGACAATAAGAATGAAGAGACATCGTTATTAAAATAATTTAATGAGTAAATGATTATAGATAGTTCTATATAAATTCATCAAACGCCTTTTCTTTTTGAAAAAAAAATAATGTAAATTCAGAACTTTGTAAAAAATTATTTCGAACCGAAATCATTTCATTATTGTATCGTAGATTGAGCAGAAGCATCTGTAAACTGAAAATATCTGCTGTTATTGAGATATTTGCTTGCGATATTTTTCAATCGAAGTTGATGATACAGGGTGCCCCATAAGTTGTGGCAGATTTTTTCTAAATCTAATTTTTGATGATAATGAATACAAATCAAACTCAAACTTAGATATATCATACAACTTAACACGTACTTTTATTTCGTATATTTTATTTGGATTAGATCATTGGATATATAAAAAAAATAAACTTAACATACATACATAGCATTTTTTACAGTTGTTTTTTTTTGCATATTTTTCATTTTTGAAATCAAAGCGTGATTACGTAGTCATTTTTACGGTGCAAGTGCAGAAAAAGTACAGGATCAATATACATATACAAAGACAGAACAGAAGAAAATAATTATTGACTAATAAACACACCACTATTGGACGTGTATATTGAGTATGTGCTCATTCTGTACATGTACCATTTTTACTTTGATAAATTAATTTTACCTAAAATTACTATCAGTTTCAATATTTACAATGGTAAAAAATGCCGATTATCAGCTTCGTACAAATATTTTGGCTTTACATAACTTATGTCCTAGTTGGCCAAACCGCCGAATTGCTAGTGAATTGCAAAATTCTGAAAATCCTCCATCAAAACCAAGATATTTAATACTGAAAATCATTAAACGTACTATTGAACGTCGTACAGTAGAAGATAGACCAAGATCTGGTAGAAAGAGAACAACACGTACAGCACAATTCAAGCAGAAAGTACAAAAATTTATTTACAATAAAAAAAACCGATCTACCAGAAAATGCAATGATTTTTTCAAACGAAAGAATATTAAAACATCAAAATCAAGCGTATGGCGTTTGTGTAAAGAATCAAAATGGAAATTTTTTCGTCTTAAAAGATCACAGAAACTTACGGCAACTCATAAAGCAAATAGAGTGACAACATGTCGTATTTTACTCCAAAAATATGGAGTAAATCGAAATGCCAAAAGATTTCAATGGCGTAAAGTATTAAATACAGATTTCAGTGGTAGTACACGTTTAATAAGACCAAATAATAATAAAAATGATGGAATATGGGCTGCAACTGCTGATGAAATTGATAGTGATAATCGTAATGCAGGTGTACAAAAATTTTCTGCAGGTGTTATATTGTGGGGTGGTATTAGTGGTGATGGTTTGTATCCACGTAATGCACCATTTTATTTCAATGAGTGGTTGGATAAGAAATGTATACAAATTGGCAAAACACGTCGAACATTAGATTCCAGATTATATTCAATGTTTATTCAAAAAGTAATAGCTCCAACAGTAAAACAAATTAGACCACAAATGGATTTAATTTTTCAAGATGATTGTGACCGGAAACAGAGAACGAAACAAGTATTGGGAACAGTAACAAAATATTTTCATCAACGAATTGATCCAAATGATTGTACATCCAAAATGGCGGACATATGGCCAATTGAAAATATATGGGTCATTATTAAAGAAAAATTGCGTGGAATGGAGTTCCAAAATATTCGTACATTAAAAGCTGCAATTAATAAAGTTTGGCGTTCCATTGATGCGACAACATGTAAAAAATGATGGAATCAATTCCTCGAAGAATGATGGCTGTAATTGAAAAAGATGGATCCAATATACATAAAGAAGACTATGAATAATGTACTAGGTGTTATTCACCATCAGCTTATACAACTGGACATTGTTAAACTCATCTGTAATTTCATTTCGTTTTTCATATATATGTAAATTAATCAAAATGAAAAATATGCAAAAAAACAACTGTAAAAAATGCTATGTATATATGTTAGATTTATTTTTTATATATATCCAATGATCTAATCCAAATAAAATATACGAAATAAAAGTACGCGTTAAGTTGTATGATATATGTAAGTTTGAGTTTGATTTGTATCCATTATCATCAAAAATTAGATTTAGAAAAAATCTGCCACAACTTATGGGGCACCCTGTATAACAAATTATGATGCTTGCACTTGAATGAATCATTATTTTAATTTTGTTAATTTGATTGGTTGATGTCAACTAAGAATGCTAGTTCTTATTTTAGTAATTCGTCATATTATATTCCGCTGTAAACCACGATATGCACAAAGAGACAAACGATGGAAGAAAAAATCGTGCCATACCCAGGTCGATCATTCCGGATGTTCGTAACGGCGTTGTAAACGGTATAAAACGGCGCTATTACGGGCCGTAATCCGTCAGCCC